TCAAGAAAGTCTGCATGAAAATGTGCCCATTCTATTGTGCTGGGGGTGTAAAACGACCTGAGAGTATAAATACACCTGATCGTCTGGCCTTAAAAGAATCACTACCTGCAGAAACATTTGAAATGGTATATGGAAAAAGGAAAAATGAGGAAAACAAAGATGATTGTAAACGAAAAAGATAACACTTAACGATGGAGAAAACAAGATGTCGCTTAAAAGATCTGCGGGTATGAATGCCTCGCCTTCCACATCTACATCGCTATCCGTTCCAAAAGCATCACCATTGCTGTTAATATAAACTGTATACAACTTAAACAAACAGAAACATATCATCGTGGGGTTAGACATTCACAATGGATATCAACCGACTTTACAACTCCTTGGTTGTAGAGGGGATACCGTTACGCTTCTACCATTAGACTGGCGATTTCTTCTCGATCACTCTGATAAATTCATCGTTCACTTTATAGATACTACTACTACTGTTACAAAAAATGAGAATAATGAACCGTCTTGTAATGAATCGACGTTATCGACCTGTGGTAAACGTTGAAAATCAGTATAGTTCTAATCGCGATCCTAGCGTGTCACCAAATTTGCTAGCTATCCCCACCTGTGCATAATTTAGACCTCTCACGTACGAGCTAGCTATTCGTCCCTTTCGTCTAAGCACCACCAAACCGAACGGACAGTAGCGGTCTCGTTTATACCTAAGGCGATAAGGGCCAGAAAATTAGGAGCCAATTTCTCGATCCATGGACGTAATTTGAAGGAAAGGAAAAACGGAATATTGCTCAAGGAGCTAAGATATAATATTGAATAGACCATAGAAGGGATACGATGGCGATGCTGACAAAATATACATAATGTGGACTAAGGAGTAATAATCTCGATAAACTGACTAAGCATCGTTATTGGGACGCCCGAAATGAGTAATCTACGGCTCCTGGAATTCTTCATGAAAGCGAACTCACAGCTAAGAAAATAATTGACTTAATATATAAGTTTGTGGGTAATGAGTGCTATGAATAGGATATGTGAGTATAAATTTGAATTCTAATTTTTTTGTTGAAATAACTGATTTTACTAATTTGATAATAATTTTGATATAGAAAGAAAATTTGTCTAGACCGTATAGTTATATTAGCGTATTACTTTGATTTTTTAATTTGATCGATTCCAGCGTACATGTATTTAAATGTGTGATAGAATATAGTATAAAATATGTTGGAATACAACAGTCTACGCTACCCCTCGCAAATTGCCATGTTATATTGTGTGAATTCCACTACCAGTCAAAAGTTTAGGTTCACCTTGCTTTCTTTGTAACGCTCTGATGACTGCAGTTTGAGAAACATCACATTTAGAAGCAATTTTTCGCGTTGAATAACCTTCTTCGTGTAATACCACAATGACTGCTCGTGTCTCTACACTCAGCTCTGCTTTTCAACCCATTTCTCTATGATTGACACATAAAATATGTAGTTTTCTTCACATTTCAATAATGAGATGATATTTGTCGAATTACGTCAATTTAAATATAAATTTTTCTTTAACAGTAACGATTTTCAATATGAAAAATGTTCTACTTACATTTTTGTAAAGAAAGATATGAAAAACAATTGGAAATATAACTTTTGGAAAGAGCTCTCGCAGCACTAAGATGTTACGCGTAATATGCACTAGACGCATCGAGAGAATGCGACCTGTCATAACAAGTTTGTGCTCTATCTACGAGTCTCCCAAACGCGCCAAACTCCCTCCTATACTCTGACCAGTAGCGTGTATCGATTTGTTATAGGTAAGACGCACGTGCTTAAGAAAATTCACCGAGTAGCCAACTTAATTGTGTAGAATTCAAAAATAAAGCAAGTGAACTTAAACTTTTGATCGGTAGTGTATATGGCGATCGAGCAATAAAAATAACATTGGGGAAAAACAGTATTGCTTTTAACAGACAGTGTTCTGAAAAACTTGTCAAATTAGAATGATGGATATGTTTCGCTCTAACGCTCGCTGATGATCATTATACTACTGCGATACGTGCTCGTAACAGTTTTCTGAATGAGATTACAAGGGCTTTTGCAAGCGGTAAAATTTCAAATATCACGCCTACCATAGTAACGGATCTTCTTTGTTTGTATTACATATTTAATCATCTCTCCACAGAATTAGTAGTACTAGCAATACACGAGTTAGTAAATAGTTCACTCGAGTGCATGGATTGTAGTTTTACCTGGGTTTGTATAACATAAATTATCAACTTTATTCCATTATCCTTATTTCTCAAACTATTTAACTCCCAAATCTTCCAAAGTTCCTGTTTCAAAATGTATTTTCAAAGATATCAAATGCCCAGGATGCGTTTGTACTTCCTTCATACCTCCCTGGGTAAAACGCTCGCCGAATGTCCCGCGTTCTTGACTTCTTACAAGGAACCTTCAGGTAGTCGGATCGTGGAGTTTGTTCAAACTTATAGTATATGACGGTCACAACTCGAATATCAAGAAGTCAAAACTATTGGGCCAGATAGCCAGGCATTCTCGAGAAAATCGATTTAAAATATTCCAAGTGTTTTATATGAATTAATCGTTAGTGAAATCCTAAGTAAGGCGTGGCTCAACGGATGGAGTTCTAGTTTTATAACCATCGGATCGCTGGTTCGGGTCTCGTTGCGTTTGTTAACTTTCTTTTTTTCAAATATTTTTTTTTTAATTTTACACATAATTCAGTTAAGAATATTTGTAAGGAATGGAACATTTGGGTACAGAAATTGAAAACATTGAGTAGGAAGTTTAACATTTTAGAATTTTTTCAGTTTACAGAATAATCAAACGCTAAAATAATGTTTCACTTTAATGTTATTTAATTATTTTCTACGTTACGTAGCTAACTGTATCTCCCAGCTCTTGAGTCGGCGTTTCACAAGAGCCTGGATGATACTCGTCATAGAAGCAGGAGAAGGAAAAGACAACACAAAAGTCCGAAACCCCGGCTCAAGAGCAAGGAGATACAGTTAGGTATCTCCACAGTTTCTCCACTAGGTATCTCTACAGTTAGGTACCTTACTACGTAAGGTAGAAAATAATTAAAACCCATACGACTTCCTACCCAACGTTTTCAATTTTTGTACCCAAATGTTAATTCCTTATTAATATTCTTATCTAAAATTATTTGAAAAAAAAAAGTTAACGCACGCAAGGAGATTCGAACCAGCGATCCCGCGGTTACTAAACTTGAGCTCCACCCGTTCAGCCACGCCTCGCTTGGCATTTCATCAATGATCAATGCATATAAACCACTTAGACTATTTTAAAAGTCGATTTTCTCGAGAATGCCTCGCTATCTAGTGCAATAGTTTTGACAACTTATTATTCGAGTTATGACCTTCATATGCTATACCTGAGTATCTGAAGATCCAATTGTTAGAACATGTAGACCGGACTGCCTGTCGCGTCGTCTTGCCAGCACGCTCCGCCAGGCCCATAGTTAGCACGTTATATTCAAATTTTGATAAAATACTTTCGGATCCGCTTGAAAAAAATAAAACATAAAAAATATTCCCACGAGGGAAATCAGTATAAATTTAACAAATATTATACAGTCCAACGCCATTACATACTGTCCCCGCGCATAGAACCCCACGATGTAGCCGAAAATCGCAGAAATCCACGGTTCGTGACGTGCATCGCAAAATGCCATGTCACAAGTTACGTCAATGAAACATTTGGTAAAGGAAACTGCGTATTTCAATACCCCTAATATTATCGAAGCTAATAAATAATAATCAGTTAAAGTAAATTGCAATCAAAGTAATTAAATTCAAGTAATCTTTCTGTATCAGTGCTTGATGCAACTATATCGTATTTACTTACAAAATATTCACAAATAGTCGCTGATTCGAATTCAGAAATAGGTAGCAAAAATTTAGTTTGAAGACATAATTAAGGGGCTATGGCCAATAACGAGATAGGAATAGTAAATGAATTTCCGACTGAAATATAATTTGTTTAATTAATTTTGTTCATGTTAGATGGTGGATCATTAGCAGTTGATACAAGGCCAATGTTCGTATCGAGTACCTACACAATGTCGAGATACTACGCCACGCACGCTTATTTATGCTAATACTACGTTGAGTTAACTGGATATCCTTAGAATATCAATTAAGGTAATAAGATGAACTTCATTCAAATATTCATTTATTAACTATGAATAAATCTTTATTTGTGACAATAAAGAGGTTCAAATATGTAATTTGTTAACTATAACGAAATATTTATTTCATTAGAATCAACTTAATCATTTGTTAGTAGTTAATAAATCCTGATTAATATAAATATACTTCAGAATTTATGTTAAAACCGGAATTTTCATCCATTGATACTTCACTCCAGAAAAGTTGTTTTTTACTTTGCCTTCGTATATCTGCTCTTTGTCACTAAAACACCCATATCTGGGGTAAATAGGACCGCAAAAGGTTAAAATATATTTTAAAATTCTAGTTCGAGCTGTTTATAGTAGCTAGACCTACATGAGTTCTCCTCGTCCTATTGTTTCTGCAATGAGGATTTTAGAGACCTATGGCAGGTTTCGTAGGACTTGTAGCTCGAGGAGGATTCCTCGACTATACCGCATATACCGACTATACCTGGTAGGTCTAATAAGCCTTAGTATATAGAATATTCATGTCGGCATTTGCGTTTACAAAGGAGTAGAGTACGCAGATGTCTTAGTCAAGTCCTAAATTTCAATTCAGGATACCTAGAGACGATAAGAGAGAAAGGGAGAGGTTATAAGAATTAACTTAACTACTTGTCAGAGAATGACCTTGATTGCGCGGTACAGGAATAGGAAACTCTGAATCTCTAGAATACCAAGTGGTCACGAATAATTCAATAGGAGTAAAGGTCTGGCTAATCAAGGTAGACGGGATCTTAGTCAGCATGATTGATATGCACCGAACTGCCCACATGCTACATGTATATATCTGTCTAGAATCCACGAGTCTTCAGTTCGAGTTCAATCATGATCGTGAATACTTCCATAACTGATTCCGTGCTAAGTTTGAGCAATGTTTTAATTCAATCTTCATCGACTTGCTAATGAACGCCCAAAGCAAAAGAAAAGAAGGAAAAGCCAAGCCATAAGTCGACCGATTATCATATTTATTAAGAGAATTTCGTACTGCGTTTAAGAAGCGCCAACTATTTTTCTGAGAAAAAAGTCTATAAGAAGTGTTCAGAAGATATCAAGAATAATTCAGAAGACGACGGAGTGACAAGGAATTAACAAGGCAATATTATATCGTGAACTTCAAATGAAGGTTTATCATTGAAGACTAAATTCAAGAAATATCCGAATCGGATTTCAAATTTTCTGAGATTAAAAGGACTTATTGGATTGTTCGTTTAATAATATGATAACATTTTTAAGCTTGAACTGTTGAAGAAATAATGCGAAACTTTATTCAATTTTTCCTAGTTATCGTTATGATTGTGGAACACACTTTGCCTTTCGAATTACTTAAATCAATCTTTTGCCCACCGATACCTAGACTTGTTAGGATTAGGAATGTGTCGGCGACTCCCAAGACTCTTAAAAATAGCCAGCTACTCGTAGTGTTAGATTTCGTAAGTTTTGATCCCACAAATTAAACACATTCTGATGCTAAATAAAGTTCATTTCTCAATACTAATATATTCATCAAATATTAATTAACCCTTTGGAAAGCACTGACACACTGGTGAAACTACACTACATTTGTGTCGTGTCCCTGGGAAAATTGACGCACTAGTGCGCACGTCGTTAGTTTGTGACTGGTTTCAATAATACTTGGTACCTTGGGGTTTCTGTGTCACTGAATACGGATTAAAAATCGAAATTAAAAAATTAAAAATGTCGGATTCAACATAACTGTTTAAAAATTCTAAAAACTCTATATCTTGTACTATTTTTATGGAACTTTGTATGTATGGAGATTATGACTCACACATTATTAATTTAAAGAAAATATGGAAATTCATAATAGTGGGTTCAATTTGGCCGTCCGAAAAATGTCAAAATCTAAAATCCCGAGATATTACATTTTTTTAAGAATAAAATAGGATTTCAGATTCTGATCAGTTTTGGGCGCTACATTGGATTAACCATTTAGAATTTTAGTTTTTTTTACCATAAATTCGTATTCAGCAATAAAACAGGATACTATATTTCATATGAGTATAACAAATTGTAACAATGAAACACAGTCTGCCGTCGAAGAGGTTAATTTCGCGCTAACTTTTGTTTATTTCGCACTATGTAGGTGCTAAACAATACTAAAGGTGCTTCACAAATACTACAACATGTATTATAGTATTAATAGTGCGACAATAATAATGTGTATATTTGTCAATAGACAACATGCATGTGTCAATTTATCAGTCAGCAACAAAGCCGTTTGAAGTTTACTATAATTTATAACACCCAATTTTAGGTAGGTCTCGTCCAAAGGCATGGATATTCCGCAGAAGAGCACAATGTTACTACAGAGGATGGCTATAACCTCCTCATCCACAGGATTCCTGATAGCCCAGCTAAAGTAGAAATTAAGAAGAAACCTGTAGTTTTTCTTCAACATGGTGTGATGGCGTCTTCGGATTCGTGGGTTCTCTTCGGCCCCAGAAGAGATCTCGGTAAGTTTTCCTCCTAAATCACCCTACAAAAACTCTGATCAAAATGTTCCTTGAAAAATCACAAATATTTAAAAAAAAACGTATAAAAGATTCTTTCACAATCTAATTTTTTGATTTTATTAGAACTTTTTATTGTTCCTGCAATAACCAGAATAAATTCAAATAAAAAGTATTATGCAAAAAAAAGAGGAGGTATAAGGAATATGCACAAGGTTTACAGGTCTATCAAGAATGATGTCATTTATTTTTTCACTCTGGGATTCAAAGTATCATTCAAGAATATATATGATTATTATTCTTATTCTGGTATAGGTAAACAGGGTTCATGAAGTTTATATTATTCATTATACAAGGACATAATTATAAAATAGATGAAAACCACGACATTGTTCATATTTGATTTCATTGATTTATTATAACTATGGACAATAAGCATGCATGATTTCTTTGGATGTAAATTCTTTTAAACAATTAAACGAATCTAATGGAGTTTGAAAAAATTTAAATAACCTTGATTTTCTCATTAGCGTTCTTACTGGCTGATGCTGGATACGATGTATGGGTCGGAAACATACGAGGCAACACTTACACAAGATCACATATAGAGCTCTCTGCCTCGGAACCGGAATTCTGGAAATTCAGGTTTGTCATGCCGCTATAAAGAGTATAGGGAGTACTGACAGGTTGGTCGTTTTGTCACGTTACAATATACATACATATACAATATGAAGATATAATCGGACTAATTTATTTTGCAATGAAAGATAGAAAATTAATTATTTCTTAAATGTAATTCTATATAACTTGTAGTATGCACACTTAAAAATATACCTTTAAAATAGGAGTATAGCTCGCATATATGTATAGTAACCCATAGTTCTAAGGATCATTACTATCGTCATTATTATTAAAGTTACCTACAATGACCTGAATTTCCTTGATCAATAATTGTTAGTATCATCGAATTATTAGCATCATGTCATGTAAATTTACGCTTTCCATGTAACTTTTAACTACTAATACAACTTTGCGTGTATACAATATTAATTTATTCTTTATATAGCTACCACGAAATGTCACAATATGATATTCCAGCGATGATTGATTATATCTTGAAAGAAACTGAAGTAAAATCGTTGGTTTACATCGGACATTCTATGGGTACCACTATTATTTATGCTCTTCTTTCAACAAAGCCCGAATATAACGATAAAATAAAACTGATCGTCAGCCTAGCACCGATTGTATACTGGAAACAGCCATTTACGAATTTAATTAAAATCATTGTAGATAATACTGCAGAATTTGAAGTAATTCAGACATATTTTCTTTCACACCCATATTGTTAGATATATACATGTCTTATTTTTAGCTTATTTTTTGTAGAATATTTTTAAAAAGAACGGGATCTGGGAAATCTTGCCGCAGAGTACGAGCGTTGCTAAGCTTGTAAAAACATTTTGTGAAGACAAAGCTATTACTCAGCCTGCTTGTATTTCTTTAATATTCTTATTATCAGGATCTGATATTGCTCAATTAAATACTGTAAGCTATATATATATTTTTAATATCTATTGACGCAGTTTGTGAAATACCAGTCGGTTATTTCGTTTCTTTTTTTCACTGACAATCTGTTGCAGTCTCTCATTCCTTACGTGGGTTCGTTCTTTCCGGCAGGAGTATCCTTGTTTACATTATCCCATTATTATCAGAATATCGTAACAGGTATCGTAACACACAGTATTGATCAGAAATTTAAAAAATTGTTTCAATAATTAACAATTTATCCTGGAAAATTATGTTTGCAATTTTCAGGTAAATTTCAACAATATGATTTTGGATATGTGGAAAATTTTGCACGTTACGCACAGAAAAGTTCACCTGAATACGATATGAAGCGAATCACTGCCCCGTCTATACTGATGTATGGACAAAACGATGCCATATCACTTAAGAAGGTAAGTTTCTAACTTCTTATTTTTCTTTGGGATACATTATTAAAAAGTATGTATTCAATTTTAAAACTTCATTTAAAATATTTCACGATTTTTTTAGAACATTATGGAACTAGAAAATCGATTATCAAATGTTATCGTTAGTGATGAACTTTCATATCGATGGTTCACCCATTTGGACTTCTTGTGGGGTTCCGACAGTAAAATGTTTCTCTACGACAAAATAATCGAATTGCTAGAGAAATACGGTGGAAAAAACTGATACATTAAGATTGTTTATAAGTCGTATGTACCTTAGAAAGACATGAGCTATATTTTATCATTTTACTTTATAATGTAATGCTAATTTTGTTAGTTAATCTCGACCGTGATACAGCATTCATAAATTTGATCAATTTAGCTTCATCTGAAAAAGACCCGTGACTGTATTTTTTGTATTATTTTTGTTTAAGTGAACTAGGCAGTCTAAAAATAAACTTCTTAATTTCATTTTTGAAAAGTAGTATCTCTTCTGAGTTTAATGCAGTCGAACTATTAAAAGATTTCAAAGGTTACGGTCTTAGCAGTCTAGAAGGTATAAAAACTCCAGATGCAGTTATAATTTTTCATATACCATAACATTAAATATATTATACAATACATTAAAATATGATCTATAGTAAAAATTAATGTGTTGTTATCATACTTTAAGTGCCTTTTTAAAAAATTTCGAATATATTGATAATTTTTTTAGATACAGACTTTTTTATGTCGCGCTGTATTATGTCGCATTCAGTGCGTTATCGGGCCAATTGGACAGAATGCATTTGATGCGCTAAGCGCGTCACCTGTATTTGAGGGGTTAATAAAACGGAACAGCTATTTATCTCCTATTGTCTTCTAATGCTTTTTGTTGTATGTATACATTGTCATGATACCGCGAGAAATAATAAATAAAATACTAAATTATTGGGCGCCAGGTATAACCAGAGTTACACCGCTGTCTCCTAAAAACACCCTAGCCAGCTCTTATGCAGTGGGGTCCTGGATTTGAGAGACAATAATAAAAATCTGAAAACTGCAGAGGTTTACTCTCAAAACTACTGAAATTAGTGTATACAACGGCGAACTATCGGAACCAAAATTCAGGGTCGGATCCAATTTATTTTAAATAAAAAAAATATAAGAATAATGCAGTTGAATACATATGATAAGTACCGAAAACAGATCGAGATGGTACAGAACACACTGGGATATTACTCGAACGACATTATATTATATAGCGGGAATAATATTCCCGCTGGCACGACGCAACATAAGTAGATACCAATGAGTCATAGAGTGCATCGTGTTGTGTCCCCCCGCACTGTACTATGGTGCCATCCTCCCGCCCATGTGGCCGACTCTCCCCGCCCCCTCACCGCTGTAATGGGACACCCATCATGCGGACCTGGTCCTAAGGCTCGAAACACCTAGTAGCAGCAGCGTTGCATGTCCCCAGGGGGCCTATCACGGTCGGTAATTATGCAGTGACCACTGGTCGGTAATTTTTAATTATTCTAAGGAGGTAAGTGTACCATGGTGAAGTAGAGCACAGTGTTTTTGTAAGAAATGTCATATATTATAAAGCTGTCTGGAGTGACACATTTTCGATGATTAGCCTGAATCCTGTATAGAGGAATATGCTTAATGTTTTATTTCCTCTCGCCCGTCACCATTATTGACAAGATATGAGGAGATGGAGGTGAAGGAAACAAAACAAAAAGAAAAATAGGTATTTTAAATATATATTATAACGTAATTCTTTAGCTTGACCCGACACCGATAGCAAAACATACGGGAACGACTATCTTCGAGAACCAACCTACGTTACCTTCGGCCGTCCACCCGTCGTTCGTGCATCCGCAAGCCAGGCGGGCGGAAGCCAATTCTTTTTTCACCGGGAACTGACGAGTCGGTATAAACTGGGAGTTGGGATGGAACAGGCCCAACTCCACCAAGAACGAGAGCTCTGACGGAACCTATCAGACGAGGCGATAGCTTAACGGATCCTGTCGATTTTTGGGGACGCGTAAAATCGAGAAACACAACCGTAGGTGCTGATCTTTGGGGTCGCGTAAAATCAGCAAACGCAACTGGATACACGAACGGGAGCGGACGGTTACGGAAGTGCACGGCCGCTCAGGCTGCTAGGTTTGAGGTAGAGAGGGTCGGAGTAAGAGTCCGGCAAATAGTGCGAGAGACAGAGAGCGACGAACCGAGAACGTATTAGAACGAATCTTAATTACCTATCGAGATCCCTTCACCAATTAATAAATCGGGAGTCCTCACCGGAGCTGGTGCAGCTAATCCGTGGAGGCCGAGAACTGTATCCAAAGGACACTCTAGGGAGCACTGCACTAAGGCACAGCACTACACCTCTGTAACACTCACAGGAGTTCATAGAATTGCCTGGATATCGCGAGAACAACGCGAGAACTGTACGAATCGAGAACTTGCTATACCGTAGCGAAACACGGCAAGAAAAACTATCAACAGATAGCACGGGAGCACGAGCCAGCCCGTGACACTTCGGTCGGTGCCCCGAGACAGACTGCTTTGACAATAGCCAAATCCGAGAACTAATCATTCTGATTGGTCGAGAGCCTTATACCCGATAACTCTTCTATCTCCTTCGAGTCGTCCCTTTAAACCAAATCGAGAGCGTTCCTTAACGAATCGGTACGTAATTTTTGGAGATCCTCCACGGCCGCTTCCCCAGAGCATCGGGCGACAGCTGGGCGCCACATCCTTAACTCGGGCACGAGGTTCCTCTCCTGCCCTTAACCGTATCAAAATTACCTCCGCCCGCTC